CTTAATGTAATTATATTAATTTATTACTTTTTAACTCTTTATAGTCATACTTTTATTTCAGTTTAATATATTTTATTTCTAATAATATATATATATATATATATATATATATCTATAACTATATATATATATATATATATATATTTGTAGTGCCTAACCAATTCATGACCCTATATGAAGTTTATCTTCAAATTTAAAATTAGTATTGTACTTATTTTGTACTATATGGGAACCCATACTTTGTCTCTTTAATAAATTAATAGTTTCACCATTTATTTAAAATTTAATAATAGTGATTATTACATTTATTTATATATTTCTTAATAACAATTCAATATATAATTGTCCACAAATGCTATTTGACAGATATCTATATAACAATATGCCAAATTCAAATGGTCAACAACAAGAACAACAACAAGAAAGATGGAGACAAAACTATAGAAATAGAAGAAATCGAATGAACATGGATCAAAGACAACAACAATTGTCTAGGCGACGTATAAATTACCAACAAAGGAGACAACAACAAAATGAAGTACACACATCATCTTCAACAACTCATCCAACTAATTCACACATGTGTACAACCACAGAGATGTTAAATAATTTGCCAAACATAACCTTTCAACATTCAACAAATGCAAATTCAAACAGCAGAAGAAGACTGACATATGTACGACAAATAGCTCGGTCTACTACGTTTCAAAGAATAGGTAACATTCAAACAAATGCAAATTTTTCAAATATTGGTCACGTTGGTCATGGTTAGTTATGTATAGTGTTTTTAATATATTTTTTCAAAAATATTTTTTCTTTTTGGTAAAGTTATTATTATTTTTTACTAAACATTTACAATTTAAATTTTCTTCAATAGGGTTTCAAGGAACAAATGACAATGAAGCACGACCGAGTATCAGAAATACTGATCACATAATTCATGGTTAGTCATCATGAATTTCAAATATATTCATAATTGTTTATTTCTTTTAGAAAGACAAAAAATTAGGTTAAATTATCTATTTAAATTTTATATTTATTTATTTATTTTAATAAATTCATTAAAAATTTTGTATTGACACATTTACTTTTTTTTTCTTTCATATTTTATAATCATGCAGATCATCCAACAAGATTTCAAGGAACAAATGACAATGAAGCAGGCCCGAGTAATATACATATTAATAACAATGTTAATGGTTAGTGAAAATTAAATACAATTATGACAAACTATCATATACATTCAAACATTTAATTCACTTAACATATCATAAACAAATTTACAATTTATGAATGTTATTTTTTTGTTTTACAATAATACAGATCTCATGGAAGTGGAAATGCAAAATGGGAATACTATAGAACCAACGATTCAAGGTACACACAATTTCTTTATGACCCGTATTATTTTTTTATTATTTTTATTTATTATTAATAATTACCATATATTATACATGCACCCACACGCGCGCGCACACACACGTATATATATTTTTTTTACTTTTATTAAAATCCATTATCACTTTCTTAAATAACGCAGAATTGCCATCTCAATTCTTACGAGCACATAATAGTGCTCGAAATTTCCAAAATACAATGAGAATGACTAATCCTCAATTACCAAGTCCAAGTACATGTAGACGATGTCAAGCACAACTATTTTATCATGAATCAAAAGATATGTGCTGCTCTGGTGGAAAAGTTAATTTTACACTAATTAATGCTCCTAAATAGTTGCTTGATATTTTTCTGATGCTCTGATAGGATGTGACATTGGGGCATGAATTTAGGATGCTTGAGTTATGAATTGTTATTTGTCGTTTGAGGAGACTTATTTTTAAGAGTTTTATATTCACCTTATATTTGTAAATTCTGGATCCCTTTCATTTTTCTTTAGAGACCTTGATAATTTTCTTTTAAGAGTAAAACTTTATTATTATTATTATTATTTCTATTTATTTCAAGACTTGTGAACCTATGAGTTTTTATTAAAATATGTGGACCCTTCTTGATGTTATATTTATTGAATTATTCTTATTGTTGTTACTTATCTATTATGGGGTAGAAGGGTGTCACAGATAGTATGATAAACAACCCTATAGGCTCGAGCACCAGAGTGCGAAGGGCCTCAAGTCAATGTGCTCGGTTGATGAGAGAGTTGTACGATACATTTATAAAACACATTTTATTAATTAAAAGAAATCCTTTATTGTTTTTAGAAAACTTGGGATGTTACACAGTGACGGATCCAGAAACTTTAGATAGTGGGGGCAATATGTATTTATGTATTTATAATATTAAAATTTGGACAATATAACTTTTAAAAATATAAATATATCATAATTATTTTTACAAGCTTTTATATCTACGATTATAATTAAATATGAAAATAAATTAGATCAAACAAGATTGTATTATAATTTAGTAGGTTTGAACCTAATTTTTTTTAAAAATTATTATCCTAAATATGACTTTTTTATCTATCATAGACATTTTTTAAATATTTAGTTAGAAATACAATCCTAAAGACCTACTTTATAATAATTTAACATTAATAAAAACATAAAAATAAATATGTTAAACTTTATAAAAATCAAGTTTAATTTATTTATGATATAAACATATTTTTAATATCTAATATAAATTTTTAGATGATAACTTATTTTAAAATATATTTTATATTAAAAATTAGAATATAAATCTTTCAATATTTTTTTATTTTAATTTTTTTAATCAACGTATATAATAAATAGAAAACACAAAAGATAAATATGTATGCTACAAATTTTATTTTTTCAAAAATTAACTTTTTTCAATATATTACATTATATATGTGAGAATTAATATATATATATA